TCCACTTTTACCAGAGTATTTTTTAACACAAGTATCTGTACTTTTACTCAAGTACGGAAAGTGAGTACTTTTGCCATCTCTGATCACCACAATCCTTGAATGTTATGGAAGCAATGGTAGTAAAATGTATGATCAATATTATGGAAATTTAAGAAAATTTGACAGGGAGTTATGGACTGGTCCATATAAAACCAGCGTAGCATTAAAACCGGGGCTGAAACAATTAATCAGATTAATCGTGAACAGCCAAGCCTTATCAAAAGTCACAATCATGCTTTTGCTCCTTAAGATTCTGATAATGGACATATTTAAATAATGGAATCAAAAACATGGGGAGCATGCTGCCAAACCAACCCAGAAGTTATGACTCTTGACGTCAGTATTTTTTGGGCCCTGCGTACAGCCCATTTTTAACCTGGTTTAATTCAGAAAAAAATCTTCTTTACGGAACCTTTGGTTTTCCGATTATTAATCTAAAAAATAATCGAAAGATTAATACATTTGCAAAATAGCAGCCCTAATCTGAATATATTCATCTTCTTCTGTATATGTCTGTGTGTTTGACAAAACACCTGGCAATAATTGTTTACAATATTTTTTATAAGAATTTTTATTGAGCTTTTTAGAATACAGACAAAAAGGCAGTCAAAACAATGCGAAAGATAAGAAAATATAGAACCAACAAAACAAATATAACATACTAAGGGGAAACTTTTATTCCAATACGCTAAAGATGAAGGGCATCCTTCATAACTAATTCTTTACGATTCTGTTGTTCTTCTGTAGAGGCCACCCTCAAATCCTTCAGAAAAGCGCTACATCCTCTACGAAATTGTGTCCAACGAGAGGAACAAGATTGATGTAGATAAGTGGGATTATTTTGCCAGGTGGGGATTTTTTATATGATTTCACACACTACTTTTTATACTTAAATATAAACATATTTTTAAATGTGTGTTCCCTTTTCAATATCACAGAGACTGCCATTACCTGGGTATGAAGAACAGCTTTGACCATGAGCGTTTGATTAAATCTGCTAGGGCGTGTGAGGTGGATGGAGAGTGGCAGATCTGTTACAGAGACAAGGTGTGATTTAGTTGAGATTTTTCCTTCCTATCAATATTCAAAATCAGATTTACAATACGTGCCACTGAACATTGTGATTATCATTAACAGGAGGTGTTCAATCTGTATGACATGTTCTACACAAGGTTCTCTTTACACAAAAGAGCCTACCAGCACAAAGTGAAAAACAGCATAGAGTGGATGTAAGAAACCCCTGACATTGCTGAAACTCAGTAGCAACTGTGTCTCCTTGTATTTCATGCAATGTTATCATTACCATTACAATTTGTAATGTTCCTTCAGGATCACAGACGCTTTCCTGGAAGCGGATAAGCACCTGTCCCTGTCTAAAGCTATAAATAATATGGAAAAGTACACTCAGCTGACAGGTGAGTCAGCTCTTACAACACTGTAATAAAAGTTATATTTATATGTTGGTCTGGCAAAACATGGATTTTTAAAACGTACTCACACATTCAATTCAATTCAGTTTATTTATATAGCGCCAATTCACAACACATGTCATCTCAAGGCAGTTCAGCAGCTCACACAGTCAAATTGACTGCACCAGAGAACATCTTTTTCATCTTACCTGGAAACGGCGTATGTACAGGTGGAGAGAAATCTAAAATCTGCGCTAAAAGATTTCGACTTTGTTTCCCCTGCTGCTGATATTTGGTCTGCTAAGTGCTAACAAGAGAAGCTATATGGGGTAACGGTACACTGGATCAGATAATCCCCATTGAAGCACAATAAGGCTGTATGTCAGAGAATTTGTGGTAGATACACATATGATTTAATTATTGCAGAAATCCAAGACATTTAATCTACTCAAGTAGTTGCTCAACTAGATCAAAACAATCCAATCACAGTTCAGGTTCTATAGTTACATTTGATGCTGCCAAACCTTTGAGATAGGAACCAATCTTAATTAGGGGGGTGTCACTAATCTTATTTTCAATAAAATATATAGTTTTTATAAAGAATACCATAAAATAGTTACTGATAAGAGCTTGGGGAATACATGGTTCAACAGAGGTCTGGCTCTCTGTGAGTTTTGCAACTGTTTTAAAAAGATATATAGGATTATTCTTATTCTGTTCTATTAATGAAGAGTCGTTTTCTAAAGCAGTTGAAATGTTTTCATATTAGGCAGGATTCGTGTACAGATGCAAAACATAGTTCCCTAGTATCATATGCTTTAAAGTATCTAGCTCCAAATTAAACCAGAAAGCCAGCTTCCAAATAATAGTAACTTTTAAAGGGGCTACTGTCTATAGCAGTGCACAGAGAAGTAACCCCCAACATGATCAAATTGTGAAGGGGAATAAATTATAATGGTTGCCCTCTGTAGTGAGGAATATATTTTTAAAATGTATTTCTTCATTATCTGATAATGATCTACTAAAATGGACCATTTGGGAGATAAGAACTTTGTTAAATGGGTGCCAACTGTCAGAAGCAGTTTAGGTTTTCCCAAAAAGTCTGCCACTTATCAACTTAACTCAACTTCCTCAAACTTTCATAGTGAAAGTGTTTAAGGTTGGATCTATTTTCACAACGGCTACATTCACACTGCAGGCCTTGATGCTCAATTGCAATTTTTTTGTGAAATCCGATTTTTGTGCATTGCCATTCACATTACAAAATATATGCGACTGGTATGTGATCTCCTGTGTGAACTGCACTCATACAACCTAAGTGTCTCGCATTCGCAGTAGAGAGGCGTAGAGAGGCCTGTAAGTGGCGCTGTGGTGCCAAAGCAAAAATAGGCGAAAACAGGCAACGAAATGTTGGGCATGCTGAACTATGTCGTCGATATTGCTCTTTTCTTCTTGGAGATATTCCAGAAGAAGAAGATTCTGTTGTAAGCCCGACAGCAGGGTGAGTAGCATTAGCAGCAACCATTCAACACAGTACGGCGCCATTGTTGTTGTGATACTGTGTTGCGCATCCGTGTTTAGAGGCGATGCTATGACGCATGCGTGTAAAAAAAAAATGCGGTCAGAGCTTAAAGATGGAACCGCGAAAACGGTGTTTCAAAATCTTCCCACTCTGAAGGCTTAATAAAAAAAAGATTGTTTACAGACCCCCAAAACACCGGCTTCGTATGGATGAGAGGCTGGTTTGGTGAAAATTAGTGAATTTAGGCCAGGGTTTGACTTCGTGTGGACGGGGCCTTAGACTAGTCTATGCCCCGGACCCCTGGACACTGATGGAGTAAGCTGGAAGATGAGACGGTGGAGGTTGGTCAAAGTTCAACTGAAACGTTAAATGGGGAAGCTGGGCCTTCGTCTCAATGAAGAGTGTCTTGAGAAACAAATTAATTTGGAGAGGGTACAGTCTTCCGTCGATTGGCTGAAGCTTGAGTAAGGCATTTCAGTTGGCATTCCAGGTTAGGCTGAATAAAATTCTTCCAGGCTAAATTTTCGTTCAATCTTCATTTTCTATTTGAGTCTGCTGTGTCCCTCAAAAGATGAGTAAAAAATAAACTGTAACCTACCCTATTCCAACATACTTTAATGATTTTGATAAACTGAAATGGTTTGATAATATTTTGAGGTGCTCCTTCTACATACAATTGTTTAATAACTGTAAGTTATATATTTATTTTTCATCATATTCTTTGAAACACCATAATTTCTACATTACTTTACATCATTTTCAAAGTATTGAATCAGTTGCTTTGATCATGAGTTGTCAGTCGAGCAGTTATTCATACTTTTAATACTTTTACTCTTATCCAAGTAATTTCTTGAAGAGCAACTTTAAACGTTTACTTCAGTTAAAACTTGATGAAGTACTGCAACCTTTTCTTGTCTATAGTTTTGGGGTACTCCACCCACTGCTGGTAGCTTCAGAACTTTGAAGTAACTTTGCTCTCCCTGCAGCTGACTGATCATCACCTGGGCTATTATCTTATCTAACTTACTTTTCTATTCACTTGCTTATATTTCTAGTATGGATTTGATTTTAAAGGATAAGAGCTATGCAGTCATTTTCTTATATCGTTTATTTTACCCTTTTGAATCAACTTTAGTAAGTACATGGTTCCTCTGAACAATATTCAGAGCTAACTTTTTCTACCAAAATTTAAGCCAGAATTTGCACTTCAAATAGCATGTGGAACATTAGCTTGGTTTTAAGCAAAGGACAGAAATTTAACTCGTTTTTTTTATTTAAGGAATCATTGACCTCATGCATTAAACCTGCTCACTGCTATTATTTTAACAAAGCTCTTTCAATATTAGAAACCCCTAATCAGCTCAATGTGCATTTCATGTCAGTTTCTTTTTTTAATACACCAGCTATTAAATTGATAGCCATATCCATCTCTTTGTCTGTTTATTTGTTCTTTGCATAAATTAGGTATCATTTAATTGGCTTTAGTTGCATTTTAGGATACTGTGAATAAATTTCTGTGCTATAGAAATGAATTTGTCTTCATGCCTAATTGATTGTGTGTTCCTATTTTTTTCCCTTTCCTTTTGCCCTTTAGATGATGTATTTGAAAAGATACTAAACGACTCTTCAGGCAAACTTGATGATGCAAAGGCCATACTACTGAGAATACATCGCAGAGACATCTACAGCTGTCTGGGAGAATTAATCTCTCAGAAATCCAAAGAAGAACTTCAAGTAAGCATTTCAGTTGCTGGACAGCTGATGTGGGTTGTACATGATAGTTCAAATGTTGACAACTCAGCAGGTCTTTGTTTTTCTAATCCTAGTTTTACTCTTACACAGTAAGGTTGAATTTGCAGGAAAGTCTATAAAGATTAAAGGAAAATACTGATACAATATAAGTAAGTTTATTATGAAGTAATGTTTACATGAATATATAGACAACTTACTTTTGCCTGGTAATTGGTAAATTTAAGTGGTTAAACAGTTTTGAATGCCTGGTTTCAGTAGGACTGTAGGAAAATCTAAAAATCAGTTTCCTAGGGTATAAGTAAATACTCATATTTATGAAGACACTCACACACACATACATACATACATACATACATACATACATACATACATACATGCACACACACATATATATATATATATATGAAAAAAAAACTGTTTTCTCACCCATCGTGGGGTGGTATGTGTTATCCTCAAGCTCGGGTCCTCTACCAGAGACCTGGGAGTTTGAGGGTTCTGCGCAGTATCTTAGCTGTTCCTAGGACTGCGCTCTTCTGGACAGAGACCCCTGATGTTTTACCTGGAATCTGCTGTAGCCACTCTCCCAGTTTGGGGGTCACACCCCCAGTGCTCCAGTTACCACTGGCATCACTGCTGCTCTTACTTTCCACATCTAACGGTAACACCGACGAGTCCGGTACAGGTAATCGTGAGTTCGATTCCCGGCATGGACATCCACCCTTAGGCATGATAAAGGCAAGGTCCTTAGTGCTTAGTGGCCTACCTCAGGCATGAGTGAAACCGCAAATACAAGAGCCATATGGGCTCAGACGTTGCCCGGGTTAACAAGGTCCGCATCAGTTGCTAGGGAACCAGGGCAACTTGATGACAAATTGGCTACTGGAACAAGATATAGATGGAGTGGAGCAGAAACTTGGAACTAATATTTATATATATGGTAACAATCCATG